CTTTTATCCTTCCTCCTATGCCCAAATTTCATTCCTCACCCACAAAACGTTAGGGTACGCTTCCTCCATAGGCTAGTATGTATGTGTGTATGGATGACATGTACCTACACACATATATTATTTCTGTTCTTTAGTCATTTCAGTTCTTTCCTTGTGGTGTACCTGTTAAGTCTGTGGGTACAAATTGAAAAAACCCCTATGCCATTCTCCATTGTCTATTGGTCCAGATAAAAGGTCTTAGCTATTTAGGTAACAAGATGTAGATCAACTTTGCTTTCTGGGTAAAAGGTCCTAAAATAGATGTGCTAACTTTGCCTTAGCTTAACATACAGGATATGGGCTGTAGGTCTCTTGCATTACATCCAAACTTTCTTTAATATAAATCTATAAACCTAGTACAATAAACCAAATACTTAAACTACAAGAAAAAATATATATATATAAGCAAGCAGGTTAATCCTATAGGCTACACATAGCAGGATTCAGAGAAAATCATTGGGAATTTTCACAGAAAAACTGAACACCTGTGATATTAAAATCTCTTTTCTCTAAAATTCCTGCTGAATAGCATTACTTGGCAGAACTACCATCATTCCACACATCACATTTTTCATTTCACCCCTAATGTCACTTTTCTGCTCCCTAATTTTCTCATGGCATTTTTCACCTCCTTATTGCGCAGCGTGTAGATCAAGGGATTCAGCACCGGAGTGATAATGGTGTAGACCACGGTGACCATCTTATCCTCCGAGAAGGTGGTGGAAGGTCTTAAATACATGAAGATACATGGCCCGAAAAATATAATCACTACAGCAATATGGGAGGCACAGGTGGAAAGAGCTTTGCGACGACCTTCGGAGGAGCGAGTTCTCAAGGAGACTAAGATGATGACATAGGACACAACCAGCACAACAAAACAGGTCAGAGAAAGCATCCCGGTATTGGCAATGACCATGACACCAACAAGGTAAGTGTCAGCGCAGGCCAGTTTCAGCAAAGGGTGCACATCGCAGAAATAGTGGTCAATCTCGTTGGGCCCACAGAAGGGTAACTGGATGATCAGGAGAGTCTGAACTATGGAATGCACAAAGCCACCCACCCATGAAGCCATCACAAGGGAGCCACAAACA